AAAAATTCTCCAAACAAATTACTCTACCTCTCTTCCATAAGGGCAAACTCAACAACTGTAAAACCAGTGCTGCTTATTAGAATTACCTCTGGCACAGACTTGCTCGAATCACTACGAATAACAAAATCATCAAGTTCACAACCAACTCTATCTGAGTTAATGTTTATCAATACATAAGCAACCAAATCGGCCTCACCAAACCTATTCAGGTGTCTAATATTTCTTTTTTCCAATTTCGTGATAGTTACATCAAACGTGATCGTCGAACCTTACGAGAACGGTATCTTCCCTGGTCTGTTATCTCAATTTCGATACCCATGCTAACTTTCGATACACTACCTTCATGGGTATACATGTGCCCTTTTGATCAAGAGTGCTCGAGGAGATAATATTTTTGCTCAAATCTGGAACACGTCTCGCTTACCAAGTGTCCTTGTCGTTCCATCAAACTGCTTAATTGTGACTTTTCCAATACTAGCTATCTTACTAGATGAATTATTTTCCATTTCCACGAAATCTCTTGAAACTGTTTAATATGTTGAAAACCATTTTTGGTTAGGACATATTAAAAGGGCAAGCCTTATTGAGAACAAAATCCTCGTCAAGTTTGGAATCTCCAACGGAAATAACCAAAACATCTCTACACTACAGTCATCTTTTATAAAGCTGGATTCACAAAAATTACCTAGTTGTTCCTTCGAATTTGTAGAAAGTAATTTATCCCTATTCAGCCACTTATAGCAATCCTTTTTCATGTGCCCCTTTTCCTCACAATAATAACAGACTATATCTCTATTATTAGACGTAAAACCTGCCCTTTCCAAGACCACCCAAATTTCTCTCACGAGCAATTTTCACACGGGGTACCACCATTTAAAATAGCGAAAGGAGTCATATTAGTTAGATAGTATGCATTTATCAGAGCTTTACCCGAGAAAGATTTTTGCACACTAAAACTTAATATCATAAACTTTATTGTGCAAAGTATGATTTATTCTTTCAGTAGCCCTATCTTGCTGGGGAAGTATGAGGCACAATTTGATGTCTGGTGATGTTATAATCATTACACATATATCAAAGTCATCATTGTAGAATTCAAGACCATTATCAGTTCTCAGACATTTCAGCCCTTTACCTGTGAGGTTCTCTACCGAACTTTTCATTTTCTAAATTTTGTAAAAGTTTTATTTATCTTTTAGCAAATAAACCACACATGTTTGGAGGAATCATCAATAATAGAGATGTAATATTTGTTACCTCCAAAAGTGGGATTGCTCATAGGACCCCAAAAATCAGTATGAATGCACTCTAACACTCATGATGTCTTATGTATGCTAGATGAAAATGATATCATATGATGTTTAACCTGCACACAATGATCGTAAAATGGTATATCAGACACTTGATCCTTACCAAGCGCACCCTTATCGCTAAGGAACATAAGTCTCTTCACACTGATGAAACAAACCCACACACGTACAAAGAAATCATCAATAATAGACATGAAATATTTGTTACACCAAATGTGCGATTGCTCCCAAGACCCGACAAATCAGTATGAATGTATTATAACGCTCTAGATATCTTACACATGCTAGATGAAAATGGCATCCCATGATGTTTACCCAGCCTACAATGATCGCAAAAATGAAGTGTCAAACGCCTTATCCCTACTAAACACAATCTTATCTTTAAGGAACTTAAGTCCCTTAACACTAATGTGTGATAACCTATTGTGCCACTCATATTTGTGATCCGTGTCAATGGAGGTAATAGTGGAATTGAAACCACTCATCACTTTAGCATGCGTGATTTATATTCCATTTCTCCTAATAGCTTTGAAAGCTCTAAGTGATCATTTAAAATTTTTAGTAACTTTATCATCAAGTGAACAGTAAGCACATGTATACCCTAACTCCCTAGAGAAATAATCACACTACTGTTTATTGATATAACATGATAAGAAGCACCAAAGTCAAGAATCTACTCGTATATGGGAGATCATGGATAGGTTAATTTCGACAGGTTCGGACTTTAAGACACGTAAACCTCAACGGGTTCATCTCTAGGGATTATTACATTTGCCTCATTCTGATCCTTACCTCTCTTATCTCTCGATATGTTTTTCTCTTTATTGCAATCGCTTATAAAATGACCTAATTTACCACAACTGTGCGATTTCTTCCCCTTTCAATTTTCCTATGATTTAGAATGATCTCTACCCTTGTTCTTGCTATTACTACTTTTCCCATTTCCATCCCCAATTTGAGACATACCTTCAATTTGGTGAATCACTCCGTTATTTCTCTGTTTTTTTTCCAGTTTTCATCTCTCTTCTTCATCTTTTACGAATCAATGACTATAGGTGTCAGAGTCTCCCTCCCATATTTGAGTGCATTCTTGACTTCTTTATACATGTCAGTAATAGTATTCAAAAGGATTATAGCTTTGAACGAGTTTTTTGAAAACGTCAAGATTGACATCCAATCCCTTTGGGGGATCAATTTTAAAACTACAGGAACCCTCAAATAAGAAAAGTTTATTAGGAGTGGAGTCTGTCGAGTAAAGTTCTTCCAATTTTTTTCAAAGTTTTTCAATTCAATCATGTTTACCCACTTTATGCAAAACGGAGTCAAAAAAATGCAAGACAATAGAGGTATATACGAGTTTATCGTATTCTTTTTTCTGATCCTCATCCATAGTACTTGAAAAGAGTTATCACACATTTTGTTGTATCAAATTTCCTTTAATTTTTTGCTGCCAAATAGAAAAATTAACTTTGTCAATAAGAGCACTCAAATCAAAATGATGCATAGACACCTTAACAAATGATGCATGTAAACGAAAGGAAAAATAGGAGAAGTACTACTTCCTGTACAAGGCAGGCAAATAAGAGACAAAGAAAAGAGAAAAGCAAAGGGTTCGCATATCCAAATGCGAACTAATCGCATATTTAGGCTGGCTCCAAGCTAATATTAAGGGGCACATGGACAAATAAAAAAAAAATGTGCTCCTTAATTGAATTCAATTATCAAATTCCCAATAAGAAGTAGCCACCTAGTAGCCCGATTAGCAATAAGAAATGGTTACTCCACACACCTAATGTCACCTTACATGATGACCTCTAATGCGAAAAGTAAATGGCTATCCCACACAATAGCCTCAACTGCAATAATAATATAGAAAGAACAGGACACCGAGCGAGCCAATTTGTCGACCCATAAATTTAATAAAAATGTGAACTTTTAAAAGATTTAGGGCCAATACTATTCGCCTTAAAGTTTTCAACAATTGCAGCAGCAATAAATGGCAATCGAACGATCAAGGGCAAAACTATTCTCAACTAGTGTGTTTCTCGAAAAAAATAGAACACCACCAGCATGTCTGTAAAACTTCCAAGAACAATCTTTCCACTGTACGTTTTCCCAAAAAAGCAACTACACGCCCTCACATGCAACAATAGTGCCTGCGCGTGGTCTTAATGCACCGCCATTCTCCACATGAATTTACATTAGCCGAAAATTGGTTTACAATTCCGGTTCAATGAATTTCAATGATCTTCAATTGTTTTTCGATCTATTTTCTATTACTTTGTACCAACCTTTGCTTCGATGCAAATTGTCGATCAAAATAGCTCCCAAATGGTCTTCAATAACTCCAAAAAGCAGGCTCAATTCGATCAACCCTTGGGTCACTCCAATGATTGAAATTTTTACCCTAAATACTTGTGTGACCTCTTGTTTCCTAGCTTACACTGGGCTCGATTCTACAAAGGATTGTCCCCACAAAGGAAGTGACAATGGTTGCAACTCACAAAGAATGAGTAGAAGAAAGGAAAGTACCAAGCAAAGCTCACAATTTCAAAAACACGATTGCCTCTATTTACCCTTTCACAACTGGGGGTTTGTTTGTTTTTCAAACTCCACGCGACTACTCCCTAACATTAAATTATTCAGTTATCCGTGAGGATATGGAGTTGAGTTTCTAGTTGGAGCAATTCTCAAGTCTATATTTATCGTGGTTTGTAGCTAGAAGGTTGCAGTTTCAGCACGCACACATGATATTTTTTGAGATAATCTTGATAGCATTTGTGATCTTTTACTAGCTCTTTGTTTGAGGTATTCAAATAGTTTTACTAGTTTATTTACCATAATTTAATGCTATGTTTCTTATTGGCACTTGAGTTGCTAGCTGGTAGAGACTAGCAATTTAATCATGGATCCATAACTCAAATAATAAGAGAGGTCATTAATTCGAGGCCATTTATCAAGGGATTTCTCTCAACAACTTACCAAATTTACCTGCCTTTTATCACCCCCACAATTAGCCACAAAGCAGCTGAATTCATTCAATCAATTTCTGTTACTATTGCGGCAAGGCATTGTTTGTACGTAGATACAATGTAAGATTCGAAGGTAAATCTTCTCCAACTTGAGGAGAATGATGAAGATGCATTCAACTGATTCTATCCTATGTTTTAGCAATTTTTAATATCTATTCTCCTTTTATTTTATATTATTATTCGTAGTTATTAGTTTCATTATATTAATTTTCATTAGTTTAAAGACCAATTATTCAATTTCAATTAACCATTGATTTAGGTCTTTAACTACCGAAGGCAACTATTTCTGCAGTATGGTTCTGATTGAACAGAAGAACATAGTTTCGAGATTTTCTGTCCATCCTGACAATAATTCCGTACTTATAGTCTCCTTGCAATTGTTTGAAATATTGATTAAAGGCTTTGTTTCCGCAAAACCACTTTCAGAGCCCAATCCTACTTTTTATTTCAAGAGGTGGACCTAACAAATTTGTCCCCTTGTGCTTTGCTTTAACAAATTTATTGATCTTTATGAAGAAGACTAACAGTGGGTTCCACAAAATATGGGGATAAAAAGTGTGCGACAGTTATGAATGTTTGATTTTGACTAAGTTTATAAACCATTTATAAATTGCCAGCCAAACGGAGATGTAAAGTGCAACCAACAATGCTAATAATGTGAACTCAACAACACAAATGAAACAAAGAGTTAAAAATCAATAACAACGGGAGTCTGCTCCACAATTCTTATTATTTCTTATATAGGTAAACTCAGGGGGGTTTATACCCTTATTACAAACCAGAATTATTGCAAACCTTATTGAAAAGAACTGTTTATGGAAGATAGCAAATGAACACACATGCTGTGATCATTCCAGCGGACAATCGCTTCCATCACTTTCTGCACTCACATCGCACTCTGCACTTTCAGTACTTTATTTACTTTCGGCATTTTCATCTACCGTATAAATTCGATTTGCACAGTCTCCCCATCAGTACCCCATGCATCAAGCTATTTGACAAACCAAAAAAATTAGATTCAACAGAACGAAGATTTTACATTTTGGGTCAAGGAAACTCTTGACCGAAAAATAATGGAACACTGCTGATAAATACATACCACAGTGCCAAGGCAAATCAGTAATTTCACGTGTAAGCGGCGCTTTGGTCTATCCCAAGATCCTTCAGTTTTCGAAACCTTTAAGGTGACCCTGGAATGCTGAAGTTCAGCAACATATGTTGTCAACAGGTATCCTCCTTCAAGATATTCATATCCATCACCATCATCTTCATAGAGAAAACCCTCAGCTTTACCTGTGATTAAAGAGAATCGATTCAGAAATACACCAATGTCTAGTCAATTCATTAGTAAAAGGGAAATAATATTTGTTTGCAACCTTCAACAGAAGTAGTGATATGTGCCAGCAAAATATACAACACAGAAAAATTACCATGTTCATCCAAAGCCACCAGCAGAGTTACATCATCTGTACGATTAGCTTCACCAACATGCTGATGAGGAGGAGCCACAGGGATAACGGATCCTCCTTTTAGGTACAGGGATGGCAAATCCTTGTACGAAAATAGGGAAAAGTTAGGCACAAATTGTTGATCAACGCATCGTTTAATTTGATTGATGTGTGATTTTTGTTAATTTTGAGAGAAATAATAAGAAACATAGCACGTTATAACTACTGTTGTGAGGTCCTAAGAGTATAGTAATATACCGTTACGACTTGCATGACTTCTATTAGTGTCCTAGAGATTCAATGCATGCTTTCATGGTCGCATCTTTCATGAAGATATAGGAAAGTCACATAAGATGATGTGTTTAATTTTATTCGAGAGAGATTATTAAGACAACAAGAATAAGAAAATAAATATTGCACGGTAATGAATTGTATTATAATGGATTAACAAGGAGAATTCAGAGTCGTAGTGCGTATTTAATCAAATTTACAAAAACCTTCTTAATTACTCACTGGTAAAGTCGACAATTAGTTATAAATATACTTCACGCTAACTTGACTAGTTGATTAGAATTACCATTAATTAAACCTGGATTAAGTACATAGTTTTCGTGGACGACACTTTACTTATCATTGCATTACTTGTTCATGATGCCTTGGACTTGCGAGATTTCATTGACCAAAAAGAAAATGTAAGTTAAAATTAGAGGTCGTATGATAGGATATTTTCAAGTACCGGATGAGAATCTTCAAAGTCAAAACTTAACCATATTCCTGGAGGCAACTTGTGCGGCATTTGACACGACTCCCGGTCATCCTTCGTGCTGCAAAACCGAATACATTACCCAACAAAACTTAGAAGAGTATTATTTCCTATTGTGGCACCTATAGATGAAATGAAAAATAATGAACACAAAAGTAAGAGGGAAAATGGAACTCGTAAAAGAGAGCATATTTGATTGATTGCGTGTTAATTCTAAATATTCCAATCGTCATTGTCTTCAAGCTCTAAAGAGATGAGAACCTGGCATATACGAGAAGTGGTCCCAACAAGAATGAATCTTCTTGTGTTCTTAACTTGATATCTTTGGGATCTGCAAAAGAATCTTAACCCTAATAAAAACCATACAGGAATGTGCTCTACTGCAAATGTCAAGTAGCCTAGTTAATTGGCCATCATGAGAACGTACCGGCAAAAAAGGTTGGAGTTGCCACAGGGATCCCCAGTGTATGTGACAAGTAAAACAGATTATATATATGAGGTAAAAGCCGATACCGCCTCGTCAATGCCAATCTACAAACTTCTTCACACTGTGAGAGATAAAAGACTTACACTTGATGAAGTGAAGAGTAGCAAGTAGTAATCTTAAAGAAAATGCATTGATAGAAATTTCATGAAGATTGAAATAGCATGATGTTATTTCTATACCAGTACACGAAGATTGCTTCAGACAAATTAGCATAGAGAATAGAATTATAATGCACAAGATATAACGTTGCAGGTAAAAATCAGTCGCCGATTTGCAACTTCTGGTGGTCTTGACATAATTGGTATTACGAGGACTTGAGTGTGCTAAATTCCAGAACTAATAAAAAATAAAGAAGTTTTGGTGTTCAGTTTGTTCTTCCACTAAACTCAGTCATGCTACATTAAAAATAAGAGAAACTGTCTGCATGGAACTTTCAACTTCAAACAATTAAATGAAGACAGTGGAAAACCCAAACAGAGTTAACCGCCTGGAATGACCACGCTCTGACATGTTAAAAAATTCAGGTAAAAGATGAGACGGAACTTAGTAGTCGAAGGGCCTAAAATGATTCTATAACACACTCTCTCATATCTAATATTCATACTAAACTAATTATGCTCAGAAAATACTGTATATCAATGTAAGAAAAAGTATACGAGTTCGTCGTCATCAATGCAATAGCATTAACCTTGCGAAGGACTCACTATATTCTCACTTGCGATCTCTCCAGCACCAGTCAGTTTACCGTAATTACATAAAATATTGGAGTTCTTTTTGTGTAGTCACATTAGAGTAACGAAAAGAAAGAAGTACGGTGAAATTCTCACGAACGTCATTTGACAAAAAAACTCACATATGAACTTCACATATACATAATTAGTCACTTATTTGTGAATAAAGGACCAACCTCTTTTCCGAAATACCAAGGCTCGTGATCAATGGTATCTTTCGAAGAATGCCCACGACAAAAAGGAAACATAGCTCCTACACCCATCCACCTTCTCAACAGCTTCGATGTTGCATCCCTACCAAATCCACCAATATCTGGCCCTGAATATGGCTGTCCACTAAGCCCCTGGATACAAGCTCATTAATTTGGTCGACTATAGCAAGGGGAAAAAACTGAAAGTGGCATCATTTTTTTAATTCAGTGGTAAATTCAGTTAGGCATACTCTTTCAAGCATTTTGCCGATAACTATGCAAAATTAGTATAGAAATGTCATTATGTCATCAGAGGACAAGACAAATGCCAGAGTCGCTTTTTATATTCATCTTCCATTAAATTAATAATCGAAATAAAAGCACATATTTTACGATTATGGATTAAAAATGTGCTTATGTACATAAATTCGTTCTCACACATGCATACACGCGAGTATTAGCATATGCTCTCAAGTCTCTCGTGGGGGTTGTCATTTGCAGATCCTATTGTTCTATACATGCTTCAAAGTCCCTCCTTGTGAGAATGAGGCGTGAAAAATTGAGGTCCATCAAAACCACAAGCAATGAATCATACATACTGTGCCCATCAGGGATCATCTACAATCACCATCGGGTGATCTCTCCCAATAATTTGGTATTTTTATCCTTAACGGCACGAGTATTCCTTAACGATCAATAGCATACGAGTACTGCGAGGGAAAGCTAAAATGAACCGAGTAAATTCCTCCAGAGTTTTGAATTGTTTCGCCCCAATCTGGTTTAGATAAAAATCAGTTTTTTAGTAGGTTTTGATAAAAGTTGATGTAATGTGTGATTGAAAAGTTGATAAAAGTTGTTGATTTCCTGAAATATGCGGTTAAAATTGACGTCGGGTAAAAATGATTTCTAGAAAAATGGAGGCCAAACATGGGCTTTGTCTTCTCATTACTATAGATGTTAATTTGTTCTTTCACGTCCCCAAACTATGCAAATAAAAGATACGATATAAATATCCGAGGTGGATTTCTTAATCATTTTGCCCATTCCCAAGCTTTTTAAGGCAATATTATGTTATACATCTCAATTATCTCTCACCAATCAGTGTACATGTGAACTTCCATTTGATAAAAGGTTAATAGTATATGGGCTAAAGATAGGAATTCCAGAAAAGAAAGATTTGGTAATGTGCTGTTGGAGATAAATGAACCCAAGGTATGACTATCGATGATACCAAAAGTAAAAATGTTAAAGAGTCCGGAATAGTGGCGCATTGAAAAAACAAAAGAATTTGGTATCCTTTATGGTTTTCAAAGACATATTTGGCAATATCTTTCACTTACCAGATTAAGAACCATAGAGATACTCATACGAAGGTGCTCCCAGGTAGAAAGATTATCTCCTGTCCACGTAGCAGCATACCTTTGGCTACCCACAAACCCAGCTCGAGTAAGAATAAATGGACGTTTTTGTTCTTCGGCCAGTTTCATGCCTTCATATGTTGATCTTGCCATCAGCATACCATAAACCTGGAATAAGCAACTGAAATCAGTGAATGGCAATTCAGGCGTCATACATGATCTGAAAGAAAATCACTAATTAGTAGATTATTTTTCTATGCATTAAGCAAACTAAAAGGCTACACTAAGCGTATCAATTTCATGAGCAAAGTTGAAGTACTTAAAGAAGATTTCAGGACCAAGCATTACATTGTGATAATGTGAATGGTTCTGGTGGCCTCCGTGTTGTGGATCTCCCCTATGAATATTACTCTCAGGCATTGTCTTCGTTGGAGTCTGCAACAAAACATGTTACGCAAAACCAAGAAAGAACTGCACTTCTAACAAAGTTTGAACTTCACCTCCATAACTGCCGGTTCATTCATATCATTCCATAAACCATCCACGCCATTAGTAACAAAGTCCTTGACAAGATTAGCCCACCATGAGCGGGCTTCTGATCTTGTGAAGTCAGGAAATACACACGGCCCAGGCCACACCTTCCCTGAAGATAGAAGCAAATAAAATTAATATTAACTATTGACAAAAAAGAAGCAAAAGTTCAAACAAACAAAAATTTTACCGAGGCCAGTTCACGCTTTTTTTAGTTTTCTTCTTCCTTCTATTTTTTTTTTCTTTTCGATTTTTTTTACAGGAATGTGAATGGAGGTATTATAAGTACCTACAAACGGCTTCTGGCAATCAGTTTGAACCCAGACATCTTTTTCAGAACCACTGTCATAGACGAAATAGCCCTTCTCCTGTTTGATCCCTGGGTCAAGCATCCAGTTTGCTTTGAAACCATTTTGATGAAGATAGTCTACAAGAGAACTTGGATCTGAAAATCGATCCTACACGGCAAATGCACGTTTTATAATTCATGTCTGGAAGTAGCGAACTTTTAATTATTTTTTATACTTCATCTCTGGAACAAACCAAGTTTTAAGGAGATGGAACATGCCTGATCAAATGTGAAACATCGAAAACCATCCATGTAATCTATGTCCATCCATATGACATCACAAGGAATTTTTTTTTCTCGAAATTTCCCAGCAATCTGTATTCGGCAAGGGAAAATGAGCTCAACTTTAAATGGTAAACATGCTTGAAGAAACCAGCTCGCCATTTAACCCCGGTAGTTACAATATAAGTTTCACATAACAAATTCCAAGTTCACATTGGTAGTGTTAAATAATACACAAAATTCATAGCCTATAAAATTCACCACAAGTTTAGAAGTAAGAAAACTAGCATTTTCGAGTACAAATTTAAGTGTCAGAAAACTAACATATTCGAACATGCAAAGAAAAAAATGATGGAGAAAGAAGCAGGAGATGTATGTGCAAATAGGAAATATAAACACTAGAAATGGTCAACCTCGCGAACTCGTGCATCAGAAGCATAGCTCCAACGAGATTGTTGATAGCCCAGTGACCATTTGGGTGGCATAAAAACAGTACCTGGTAGAAAATTCCTCAATGAAATAAAAGCGACAGGAAAAGTACGTAGATAGAGCAACACAACAATAAAGTGTGACGAAAGAGAAATTCGATCTTGGATTACACACTGACACATTAGAATTTTCGTAGAATTCAAATTCTACGGAAAGTAAAAAATACGTCATTATTATATATTTTTACCTTCAACTCAACTTGTGGGTAGTAAGAAGGAGAAGACTACAAGAAGAACAGAGCACTAGAAAAAGCATAGTCTTGGTTTAAAATTAGGTAATAACACATGAAAGTCGGGCCATTTGTGAATTTCATTTACAAAGGAAGCAGAAAAGGCAACATTATGATTGCCAATATACCCATAGTGGTCAGTAAGATTATGCTCTATATAGTCCCAAATACTGGCAATTAGAGACAAGAAAAATATTTAGAACAATCGGAAAATTAAAGAGTGTGATGATCGGTAATTACCCACAGCATGGGAGAAAGACATAAGAACATCTGCTGGTGAAGAAAATGGACCAAATGTGATCAAAGGATATGGTGATGGGGAGACGATCTTTATATTTGATGCCTTCCTCAAGTCAATCTGCTCGAGCAACAAGTTGAATTTTAATAAGCCATTTTTCTCTTACAATTGATCGCACAAACTAACCAAGAAATCACAAGTACCTCACATCTTTTTGTAGTATCTGCAAGAACCCCTAATGATTCTCCGTCGGGAAGAACCGCTAGAACCCAAGGATGGGATTGATACAAGGAAGTTGTCTCCACGCCATAGCCGTACGAGTCAGTATTCCAAGTAAAAATCTGTTTATAATAAAAATAGAAAGTACTTCAAGAACGGTTTAAAACTATAATTAGTGATGGAAAACTTGGATCAAATAGCTTACTCTCTTTCCAGTACGCTCCAGACTCCCACTTACTTCTCCAGTTCCATAAAAAGAGGTACCAGCTGGCAACTAAAATACAGAAAATTTCAACCAGTATATTAAGATATCTAAACTTATAAAAACTTATGGAATCGAAACAGGATAATGTTTCAACGATATCCAAGTACGTAAAACGCCGAAAGCGCGATGATAAATAATATCACCTCGATATTGACTCTCTGTTCTCCCGTAACAAGTTGAAATGTCGGAATGTAGGTTGGATCATGAAATTTGGTAATAGGTGTATCCCTATCTTTTGGATTTTTGAAAGAAAGGCTCGGTAATGCATGATTTCTGTCATCCACAGAACAATCGAAACGAAAAACTCCTTTCTCGAGAATTGGTTCGAATATCATTTTATGGCTTTGCGCCTTGGGGCATGTCACTATCTCTTTATTCTCTGCCATCATAGATACTACTAATCTTTCACCAATCAACCTCTTTATCATCATATATATATATTGCACAAGATGTTCCAAACTTGGGTAGGCAGCAACATATGTTCCAAACTTGGGAGGAGAGCAACATATGTTCCAAACTAGGGAAGATAGCAAAGTATATTCCAATCTTTCAAAAAATAATTACTCAAGTTCTTGTGTTGTCAAGTTTTAAATACTTGGAAGCGTACGAATATGTAATGCCTCGACCCCCATGGATCGAAACGTCACGAGATTAACTGCACTTTAGCCGTAAATTTATCTAACTTTATTTTTAGTGGAAGGTATAAAGATTAAATTTTAGAATTTAATTGAAGAATTTATTTTTTTTTTTTAACAATAATTCAATACTAAAAGAAAACAATTTCAAAATTTTTTTAGAATGGATTCTATGCATGTAACGACTATTGACGTAAATTTTTTGGCAAAACTTCAAAAGTAATGTTGCTGTTTTAGTTTTTATCTCAAACGGTAAATGTCTAAATAGGTTTGCTTGCATAGCTATCGACCTCGAAACTTCATCAAATTTTAATGTAAAGTGGGAAAATCGTTAACATAGTTAAAAATTAGCTTCTGTCGGCATCTTAAGAGGTAGTAAAATAATTTTCGAAACCCAGCGGCGACCCAGTTGAAAGGTAAACTGGTGCAGTTCACTTAAAATGACATATAAAATTTCACAGACGTCCAAACCACATGATTTTAAATTTATTTAGTCTCTAATCCATGATACTATCAAATCCAATTGGCTTCATCCATAAATTCCAAGTAACAGTCGAGTTACGAATTTTTGAAGTCAAGGCAAAAGCTGGAAAAACGGTGACTCTACCCATGCAGTTTACTTTATGCAACATATAAAATTCTACCGACATCGGATTGACATGATTCCAAGTTCATTCAATAGATAACTTATGGGGCTATCCAACACCACTAGCTTTGTATAAAAATGCAAAGTAAAAAAAAAGTTATGAATTTTTAAAGACGAGGCAGAAACTGAAATTTTTGAAGAGACGGAAAAACTTTAAATCGCTAACATATTTTTGTAAATGGTGATTTTTAAATTTATTACTATGACACATGTCTACTTTCAAACATAATTTATTCATAAAGAATGTTCTTAAACACGCAACATCCATAGGAATCTAATTTAAAGAAAACGTAAACATTTCACAATCAACTAAAGATATTAAATCACCGGCTTCTCCATGACATGTCGCATCATCCATGCCCCAAGGAAAATCCATTCAACCTGTAGGAAGGAAACTAACCCATGAGTTTGAAATTCAATAGATATCATCGGTGCATTTCGTTATCAAATTAAAAATATCGAACTATAGATTCATAACCTCGGATGTAGATGGATTTTCAGCAAAATCCAATTACAATAGCATTATCATAAGACTCAAACTGTTGTAGTGCTGAAGCACCATACCCGGAGGTACCGTTTCATTCAAACATTTGTCGAAAAATCATAATTTGAAAACGAAATAAATACTTACACCTCTACCTACCTCGAATTTTCTAGGATATCAAAGAAAAAATGTATAGAAAGCCTTTCTTCTTCTCACCCTTGTTATTTCCTTAGCTTAACTTGACATGAATTTTTTTGAAAGAAAATAAGAGGAAATTTGGATTTGAGGAGGGGTGTAGTGAAAAAGTGACCGTCCACTTCTTGTAACATTCTTTTTTAATGAAAAACCGAATGGGGGTTGTATTATCATTAAGTTTGTTAAATTGGGTCTTTAACTAAGAATTAGAAAAGTTTTTAAGCCATAAAAAAAATAATTTATAAAAAAAAATTTATAAAAACATCTACATGGTGATTCGAACATGGGTTGCCTATACGAAATATCATGCAAATGACAATTGTAACAATCCAATTATTCATTAAATCTTTGTAATCAAATTTATTTAAACTTAATCTCTTAAATTGTTGGGCTCTTAATTAACTTATAGCTTGAGCTTTCAAAATCTTAAATGGGTTGAGCTTCCATAGCTCATTTCTTAATTGGGCTAGGCTCGTGGTGCTAGATCATCACAAAATAATAGTCTAATTTCATTTTTATTTCTCGAGCTTCCAAAGAATACGTTGGAATATAGAGATCGTATAGAGAAAGCCAACTCTAATCTATATTAATTATTACTCTAGTCCAGTTGATAAAAGTCCAGCTCCTCTTGAAATAATAAAAATGAAACATGACAAGTAAATGAAATTAACTTAACTAATTAGAACAATGACTCAAGTGATCAAAATTACTAGGGTTTGAGAATCCACCACAATGTAATTACACGATGGGCTAATTATCGACTAATTCCAATTCAAGCAGCTATTGAAAATCAATCTAACATCGACCCATACATTAGAAATTACATTCGAGTTAAACAAACGAAATGTAGCTCCCTCTTTGCTTCGTTAGTAAATTTTCTAAACTTTCCTCGTATCAAAAGAAAAAAAAATAAAGGAAATTAATTAACATTCTGAACATGAAGCATAAATTCGCCTAATCAATTTCTAACTTGAAAAAATACATGATATTTAAGATGAAAAAATATCCAATTTCTATAAGAACGAACCACAAACATTCCAGGCACTGAAAAACAATTAAACCGATAAGAAACAAACGCATCGTTAAAAGGGTTTCATCCTATCCGTGGGTTCTAGAAGATTAGAGGTTATGTGCATATATAGTATAGCTTGGCTCTTGTAAAATAATATTTATAATAAATAAATTGTGATTATTTATTTATCTTTAGTCGTATAATGGCCGCAGTTGATGGGGGATGCCAACAGACTCACGAGGAAGTGTCCAGCTTGTCAATGCTAAAAGGCAGAGCACCAGTTATATATGCCTTTGCCTATTTCGGAGCAGCATTGGGAAGATCTTTCCTTGGACGACACCGAGGCGAAGATTCTATTTTCATTATAGTGGACAAATTCTCTAAATTTGCACATTTAATTCCTGTCGTAACACCGGCAATCAGCATACCTGACGGAGTTGTTCTTTAAGGAGATAGTCAGACTACATAAGGAACCTTCTATCTATGACTTCTGATCAAGATTCGAAGTCCTTAGCTTAATTCCGGTCGACTTTGTGGAAAATGATTGGATAGAGTTACAACTCAACAACATTGCACATACTCAGATTGATGTTCAAACTGAAATGGTTAAGTCTATATTTATTGTGGTTTGCAGTAAGAAGGTTGCAGTTTCAGCACACACGCATAGTATATTTTGAAGCTATAATTGAAAATCTCGATAGCATTTATGATCTTTTACTAGCTTTTTGTTTGAGGTATTCAAATAGTTCTACTAGTTTCTTTTCCACAAATTAATGCTATGTTTCTTAGTGTCACTTGAATTGCTAGTTCCTAGAGACTAGCAATATAATCACGTATCCATAAATCAAATAATTAGACAGGTAGTTGGTCATTCATTCGAGCCCATTTCTCAAGCCACTTCTCTCAACAGCTTACCAAATTTACCCGCCTTTTAACACCCCCCATAATTAGCCAAAGCAGCTGAATTCATTCAATCAGTTTCAGCTATTTGAATGCTTGAGCCACTAATTTTAATTCTCATATATTTCATTTAAAATTTCCAATTTGGCGTAGAGGAAAATGAGCAAAATATTACGAAACTCAGATTTGTAGATTTGAAATATTAAATACCAAGAAAGAAAGAATAATTTGAGAATCTTCCAGATGCTTTTTATTAATTCAAATTCAACTGATTGTTATAAGGCGTACAACTTGTAATTAAAGAGTAAATAAAATCTGGAAGAAATTCAAGATAACGACTAGCGACAACGACGAGAATTAAATACTGAAAAAGATAGCATTCAAATTCTAGACACAAAATTATCCAAAACAGATGCTTTAAAATTTTATTTTTCACTTTTTTATGAACTCTTCTTTTTGTATTTCATCACTTGTGCTAAAGCTAAAGGCGATTATGTGCTGATTTTTTAATGTTGTAAATCAAGAGATTACTTAAGCAGATTTTGCGAGGCAAATAAACAAGGTTTATGAGCTGAAGCAAATCATTATACTACAATAGCTGATTTTGTGGAGCGGAATATGGAAACTTCGTGCCCCCTAACACTATTATGCACCTGCTTAAGCCCAATTTTTTTGCTCAAAATGTGTTTTGAAATTGTATTTTGATGGATAATGTGCAGTTAAAAATAAGAAAAAGTTTTGAATTTATGTATAATGTTATTGCATTGAAGAATGTGTAGTAGAAAGTAAGAGAGACACTTATCTTGAAAATAATGGGGATCAAACAAGGGAAACGAGTCGTAGGCTAGCCAGTAGTCGTCTCGTTCTTTATTAAGAATGGTCTTACTTTTCTGTCATACTCCCTCTAGATGTTTTGTAAGCTATTCTATCGTTCTTAGCAAGACTAGGGATGATTTTAGTCTATAGACAGTTTTCTCTCTATGCCGCATATAAGTTTGGTTTAAATCTCAACTTTCATTCAATCAAGTAAGCATAATGCACAACAAATTTATAACACAACGACTCCTAAAATATTAAGAGAATTAGTACATGAAGAGTTCAATGTATGGTGAAGTCTCAATATAATAGATAAAAACA